TTATTATTGTCAATAAACATATTATTATACCTCTGAATCAATTGAGCTGTCTTACTTTTAGTCTTGTCATAAATACACTATTATGTAAATAATAAATCTTGAGATAAACTGAATTGAGTCACTACGTAAACTTAAAGAATCACTACTTGAATATCTTGTCTAACTGTCGCAATTTGCAAAGATTGCATGTTAACAATAGAAAAAATTCTGAAATTTTATAAAAGCTTCAAAAAATGATAGATCTCTATTAAGTATATTTAATTATCTAAAGTAAGTTTTAAAATTTAAAATAAAAAATAATAAATTATAATAATAAAATAAATTATTAAATAAATTATTTTAATTATTTTACAAAATTACTTAAATTATTATAGAAATAAATTTTACATAAGTTTACAAAATAATTTTCAATATATGTTAAATAATATTATTTAATAATTACTTAAATAAAATAATAATAAGATTAGTAAATTTTATTCCATAAAAGGCTAATTTAAAAATAAATTAGATTAATAATAAAAATGATAAATTATTATAAATGTTTATTATTATATTCTTAAAAAATTCATATAAAATAAAATAAGTTATTTTGATAAAATATTTTAATTTTATAATAAATTTAACTTTACTGATTTTAGTTGATTATTATTATAAGTCTTTAATTGTATATATTTTAGTTTAGGATTTTACTAAAAAATAACATAATATTATTATCTTTATAATAAAAAAAATATAGTGGGATACCACATGTAATATAATTTATATTACATGTGGTATCCCACTTAACTTAAATTATAATATCACATATAATCTGAATATCACATATGATCTAAATAATACATAGAATCTGATATGATCTAAATGATGTAATCTAATTATCATATATAATCTAAATGATATAGTCTAAATACTACATATAATCTAATATTTTATTATTTCTTATATCTCTTTTACATTCTAGCTATATTTTTAAGTCTTTATTGATATTTGTGTTTTTTATACTAATATACTTTTATTACCATAATATAATATAATTATCACACGCATATAATCTTAATATCATACTTTTCTTCTTATTTCTAAGTCATTTACATGCTAATTCTATAATGGAGTTATTGATTCTCTGTAGCCGTTTGGATATCTGATTTTATATTAAGGATGCTGACTTCCTGTATCTGGTTAGATGCTAGATTCTATATTAGAGTGCTTTCTCTTTACGCCTATTTAGTTGCTTTTTTAGATCTCAAATTATGGTAAAAAAATATTATGTCAGGTGACGTAATAAATTTGTGATTAATTTTAGCTGATTTTTTAAATATATGATTTGAAAATCCAGCTCAGTGCTATAATAGTGAATTGATAGTATCCTGAAATTATCATAGAACTGACAGAAAACCAGAGTATTTCTATTAGTTCGTCAGTTTCAGGTCAGCTTGAATGCTAAATTATTATACCCAAAAATCTGATTGAAATTGTAAAATAATGCTGGCAGAATTTATACTATACATATTGTGCAATCACATATCTTTCATTGACTTGCAAGTCAGAATTTTTAAAATGTAAAAAATAAAAAATTATGAATTAGTATAGCCAGCCTATCCACTTACTGGGAGTTATCTAAAACCTATTTAGAAGTTATCTAAAAGCTATCCTAGTATTAGAATAAATTAGCCATGTATTTTACTCATAATTTTAGATTAGTCTAATTTATATTACTATTCTTTATTATTACTACCTACTTGTATCTATTTACGGCTAATATTTATTTATGAAAATTTTTTATCAAGATTATTACTATTTAATACTTGCTCGCCATTTTATCACATTAAGTAAGATAATTTTGATATAAAGTGATACAACATATTTATTTATAAAGAACATCTTCAGGTCATGTTGAAATATAATCTATTATGAATTGTTCAGCATTAGTATAAGACACTTCGCTAGAGTTTACTATCTTATTTTATTTTCTATTCTCCTGACAGCTAATTATATTTTAAGCCTACTATTTTCATCTTAAGCTTGTTAACTTATTCTTTTAATGAATCTATTTTTAATTGCATATTTAAAATCTTGCAAGTCAATATAAGCTTAATTTGCAATTCAGTATTATGTTGTCTTAATAAATAATTTTCAGATTTCATTGATGCTGTATACATTTTAAAATAATTATTTTTTACGTATCTTTAATAATATAATAGCGGTCATAAGTATTTGACTGCCTCTAACTTTGACTACAAGTAAATAAATTCAAAAAATTTTTTTATTTAAAAAATACATAACTAACTAACTAAAATTAATACATTTTGTGTAGTCATCATCTAACTTTATAAGTGTAGCTATACATCTTTTCATGCTAGTTATCAAATTCACAGCAAGTACAGGTGATAATTAGTTCTATTCTTTTGTAAGTTCTCCCTTTAACCTTCTAATTGATTGAATATTTTTTTTGTATATTAATTTTTATTAACCTCTAAACGATTTCTATAGGATTTTGTTTTGGAGATATTGATAGTCAAGAAAGTACTTCAATGTTATTTTCTTTCTTCCATTTTTTTGCGATTTTTAATTGATACTTTGAATCATTATCTTCTTGCAAAATCCAATCTATATTACCTTCACCAAAAAGTTTAAAGGTGGAAGCCAGAAGACCCTACTCATAAATAGTACATATAAATTTAGCATTAAGGTTTCTCTAAAAGCAAAATAGCTTATCAAATCCAGAAGCAGAAAACATCCCTAAATATAAACTTTTGGTGGATATTTAATAGAACGAAACACTTTTTTTCTACCAGGAAACTGCCAAACTTTTTTTTTGATATATATAATTAAAATATACTTTCATTTATAAAAACAACTCGATTCTAATCAAAATTCTTATTTTTTTTGCCTATTGCAACCTTTTTTTTGATAGTTTTTTTTAAACAAAGGTTTAAAATTTTAATTACTAAACTTAAACTATGAAAATGTCACCTTACTATTTCTATACTAAGCCTAATACCTCTTTCTTCCATTTTTTCTTGTATTTGAATGGCTATTATATTATGTTCTTTCTCTGTCATCTTTACAATCTTGTCAACTTGTTTTACTAATATTATACAAGGCTACCCTGATCTTTCTAAAGTACTTAGATCCTGATTTTTATGATATCTTTTAACCCAATAAATAGCTGTAGACTTACTATAATGTACAGAGGGTCTCTAAAAATTTACACACACTTTTTTTGTATGAACTTTAATCATATTTTTATTAAGTAAGCAAATAATCTACAAATAATAAATATTGTTTTTAGAATAGTAAATTAAATTTTGTATTAAGCTGTTTATTTATTTAATCAGACCACCATTTTCATATAAATATATCACCAATATCGCAAATATAATAAACATCGCAAACCTCGCAAAAATCGTAAACTCTACACAATTTATTTTATACACTCATAATTTAAGACGAATGGCCTGTTCAAAGCCCTGACCTTAATCTGATCAAAAATTTATAAGACAAAACTAAAAAAACCTTCAAAGTCAAAAAGTAAAGTCCACAAATTTTTTCTAACTTGAATGACAATCACGAAAGGCTTGAAAATCAATTACTTCTAAAAAAATTAAAAATTTAGTTAAAAGTATGCCTCGATGAATTCAAGCGGTAATTAATGTAAATGGTGGTCTAACCAAGTATTAAATCCTTAATAAAATTTATATTTTAATAGTCTAAGAATATTATTTATTATTTATAAATTGCTTAATTGCTTAATAAAATTTTGAGAAAAATTCATATGAAGAAAGTATGCATAAACTTTTAGAGACCTTCTGTATCTGTTTAGCAATAAATCTAAAACTAAACTTTGGACCAGTTGGGTGCTCACGTAAAAGACAATTTCATATTATTTCTTTAAAGAAAGTTCCATTTTTCAAGCGAAAGTTTGATGATCATCTAAATTTTTTTTTTGTATCATTGACACATATAAATTTACAGGTGATCATATATTGTGTTATATTATATTTCTGGAAAATTTAAAGGGTAGTTATATAATAATTTTGAATGATTTCAAGCGGTCAGATACTTATAACTGCTACTGTAAAGTATATCGATTTAGAAATTTAAAGGTGTCACTGGTATTATAAGTTTCATATACTAACCTGTAATGTAACCAGTAACATATTCGTATGCTTCTTGAAATTATTAGGTTATTTTATTTCTTTCTTGATTAGTATCACTGGTGTCATAAGTAAAAGTAATAATTTCTAGAAAAAAAAATCGAAAATTTTCTATGCTCAGCCTATATGGGATATAATATGATAAATGTATGATATATATGTGATATATGTATACTAAAAAAAATAAAAAAAAAGTTAAGAAACTCAGATTTTTTTCTGTGATATCTATGACAATGATGATACTTATCAGGAAAACTTTCTTTTATCCTAGAATCCCTAAAGAGCCTATCATCAGTGTCACAAGTTCTGTTACGAGCTTTTTTTCCTGTAACACTAGTGATAAATTGTATTATTTTGTTTACCTCTAAATTACCTACCAGTATTTGCATCAAAGCTAACGTAGCCTGCTTTTTCTGATGATAATGTTCTCTCAATCTATATTTTTTTGCATGTGTATTGCAATAGTTTAATGTTTCGGGCGAAACTATTTTTTGATTGGCGAAATATTTCGCCTTTTAGAGTTAAATTCCAAAATTCTGCCTAAACTTCTGTAACTTTCGAATTTTGCCAAAATTTCCGTTAATTCCGCAATTTCCATAATTTCTGTAATTTCTAAAACTTTCGCAACTCCATAACTTCCTAATAGAAAAATTAGCAAATTTAAATAATATCTAATTTGTAAAATTTAAAATTTAAAGTTTTAAACAGTTATTAAATTTACAATTAATAAAAAATTATTGAGCAATTAACAATAGTTAAAATTTAGGGTTGAAAAATCAAAAATTTATTATAAAATTATATTAAATACACTGAAAATATACATGAAAAAAAAACTTTATATGATTACATAGAATTAACAATTTTTTCAGCTTCAGCAATTAGATCCCATTCTATATTAGTGTCATTTTCTTTTTCAACTATATTTTAAATATTTCATTCTCTCTCCAAATTCTCTTTCAAACTATTCTCAATAATTTTGTCTAAATTATTAATGAATACATCTGCATCTAAATTCAAGATATTACCAATTATTAAATCACTTTCCTCACCAAATGAATTTACTTCTGCATCAATATCATTATCATCATCCATAATTTCGATAAGATCTTCATCTGGATTTAAATGTGTATTAACCAAAATTTCACAAATTTCCTCACTTGTTTTTTCTATACTATAATATGGCAACTTTTACTTAGCATGTGCATGATAATAAGCTGACAATTTGTACATATTTTCTACTTTGTTTAACCCTAATCGTGCTCTCCTTTTACCATATATCTAGCTAAGATTAGACCAAATCCGTTCACATCCAGCTGCATGAGGAGTAACTGAGAATAGTTTAATTGCTAGTTGTACTAAGTAATCCTCTCCCTTAAGAAAATTATCTTCCATAGAAATCCACCAAGAAATTGGCAGTTCAGACTTGCCTAAATCAATATCAAATGGAATTTGACGTGTGCAAAATAATTTCATCTGGTGCATTAATTCACATCGTTCAGAATTTGTTTTTCCCATTTTTCTGAAAATTTCTTCTGCAGTCAACAAAAGTTCTCGAAAAGTCCCTCGTGTCCAATAAATTTCTAAATGAACAATAAGATTAATATTTAATTTTTAATTTTTTTAAAAAAGATAGATTAATATACTAACCTTTATAACCCAGATGCAAGAAGAAACACAACAAGTATATTAGATCAGCAAATTCAATATAACGTTTATTAAAGATTGCAATATATTGACGACGGAAAACACAATAGTCATTTTGAGATAATTTGTTTATTGTAACTCAAAGCTGAGCTAATCTAATGAAACAATCCGCAAGTATACATGACTGTGATTCTAATCTTAAAATTGCTTTTTTGATAGGATGTAAAGTAAATGCTAATGCACGTATATCATCAAAAAAGGCACGAGACTGTAAAACTGACAAAATTGCTGATAGAAGGAGGTCAGCATAATCAGATCGTAATTACAATAAAGTAAATAAATAAAAAATAATTTTATAAGTTAAAGAAATTAAATAGTATATGAACATAGATAAATAACAATTTTAATATTTACCTTCTCTAAAACTTCTTTATGACGCTTAATAGAATCAACACAGTCAAACATTGTATGCTATTGAGTATTGACCCATCATTTTAAATCACCTCCATTTAATTGACAGTTTTCAGCCTCTTTTTTTTAATGCTGAACCTATCAAATATAAATAAAAACTTGAGTATTTATTATAACAATAATTAATGGGGTAAAAGAAATTAGAAAAAATTATAAATAATTACCTCCCTGATGATTTTTTTTGAAAAAAGTCACAATTGTATTGTATCAAGTTAAAATTCTGTTTGCAAAAGAAGTATTACATGTATCCTTAGAAATTAAATTGATTGCATGTACCATACAACGGATATTAAGGATATTTTGATATTTTTTAGTAATTATTTTACGAGCATTTTAAATGTTTGCTCTTGCGTCCATTACTATCGCTGAAAATTTTTCTAGCCTGATTTTTGTAATTACTTCTTCTATTTCATTCGCTAAAAAGAGACCAGTATGACTTTTATCTGATAAATTCTTTAAATACCATAAATATTCTTTATGAGCAGGTGTATGAATAAGAAAATTCCAAATTGATTCATTTGCTATATTGGTCTACCCGTAACATACTTTAAATTTTAAAGAATAAAATGGGTTTATGTCAATTAATAATTAAAAAATTTAAATTTTGAATAATTTTATTACTTACATAATGTCAAGTTTATAGAATTTTGTAACTCTCTAATAACCTGTCTGTTTACAATAGCTACTTTTTGGTTAAAAAGTTCACCAAAAAGTTGTTCTTTAGAAGGAGGTGTGTATCCTGGATGTAGTATTTTTAAAAGTTCTACAAAAATGGATTTTCAATTGCATGTCAAGGTATATCGCATATAACAAAAAATTTTACACATGCTCAGTCAATTTCATGACTTTTTTCTGGAGAAATCTTTGAACTTTCGTGAAAATCTGTTATTTTTTCTGTTCAGTTCCGCAATCATATTTTCATTTTTTATTTTGATTATCTATGAAATTTTCAGCTCTTGTAGCAAGTCAGTTTAAAAATAACTATTTTATTTCTATTAGAACTTTGGGACAATTATTAGCGAAATGTGCTTCTAAAACCTGAGGTGAACCTTTATACCAAAAGGTGTTACAGTATAAGCAAGTGGCCTCATAGTGACTATCAGATATTTTTTTGTCTTGTTTAATATAGGTTTCCTATACAAGCGACTTTGGCCTGCCACTAGAACCTTTTGTTTTTTGTTATATATTATCTGGTATAATAATAAACTCTTGAGGAAAGGTTTAAGAGTCTTCACTTGATATAATAGGTTAGATGTTTATATAACAAAATAAACAAACTGCGCGTTGTAATAATAAACTGCAGTTAGTACGCGTTTATATATACATATATGCTAATCAAATTCCTTTTTAGGTTTGAGAGATCTCAGAATTCTGAAAGTTCCATAAAATTCCGAAAGTTTCAGAAGTTTCAGAGGTTTAAAAGATTTTGGAAGTTTTAGAATTTCAATTTTCTGATTAATGGCGAAATTAATTTTGCCAAATTTCAGAAATTTCACCTGCTGATATATTTTGGTTTCGCCCGAAACTTTACAATAGTTATATCTGGATCTTGTCTCCTTATTGCATTTTTTACAAGGAACTTGCCTAGAATTCTAATGGACTTTACATTCCTTTTGATCATAGTATCTCTGATTGCATACTTCTCTAGTCCTAAGAATATATAGACAATAATAAAATTCTAGGATGGATTTTTCTAAAATCATGTCTCCTTTTTTCTGCCTCCCACTTGTATATATCTATTAATAATATCAGGGAATTATTTCATTTTAAACTTTTTTTTTGTGAATAATATACCTTGAGTTTTAGTATTACTATAAATTATCTTAAATTGCTTAAGAAAAAATAACCCAATCTAAGCTTTCAGAGTTCTCCTATACTTCTGCTTCATATGAGTTTAAAAATGCTGGTATAGGTAAATACTGTTATAAAATTTGAGACGGTAGTATCAGATTAAGACATTTTCTTAGCGCAGACTATGAGAATAAAATAGAAGCTATACTCTTAGAATGTGAAGGCCATTCCTTACATGAATTTATTAATAAAGATAAGCTACTTTGCCCTTTCATAGATTTTGATCTACCAGTAAAAACCTTAGATGCTATTATTTCTAAGCTCTTAGACATTTAGGTTAAAAACACACTTTGTAATGCTTTTAGAGGTGTTTGTCTAGAAATATTCTTAAAATAGAATAAAAAATTATATCTATTGCTGATAGTAGTGATGCGAAAAAAATATTTCTCCATATCTCAACTTTCAGTATGAGACTTTCAAGTATCACTCAGGTTGCAATATTTACTGAGCTTATTCGTAAAAAACTCCTAGCAGGATTACAGAATAAGGTATTGTTAATAATATAGCAAACAAATGATTATTTTCCTTACAAATGCTTAGATCACCTAAATATAATGAAAAAACAGAGAAACATATTTGTATAAAAAAACTATTTATCTAAAAGATAGATCTATCTTCGACTTCATGATCCACCTACCCAATTATGAATCAGAAATCATTAACAATAATCCTCTCTTAACTATTCCAGAAACAGAAAACATAAAATATGCTAACATAAGTAATGAGACAATCATAGCTGAATTTGAACTAGTAGAGACATTACTTCAAGAGAATAGCATCAAAGGATATAGTCTTTCATATCCATCTGAAAATTTTTCTGATAAATTTCTATTATTGCGCATCTCTTCATCACACTGTCCAATATGTGACAGAGAACATAATAGTAATAATGCATATATTATTCAAAATAAAAAATTCTACAGCTTTTTCTGCTATCAAACAAATAATAATAGGAAATCTGGCTTCAAAAAACCTTTGAAAAAACTTATTATTAGCGAAACTGCCTTAAATCGAGAAAGGAATTTTCCTGTGTTGAAGTTTATGAAGTTATCTAAGCAACAGTTGCCTATATGCAAGGAATTTCAAAATTATAGTTTCTTAAGCGTAAAGATGCAAAAAATGACCTTTTCTTTAATATAGAACCTAAATTAAAGCTTGCTAATTATAAGATTAATATAATTGAATATGATAGAAAATTAATAAAATTAAAATTATTAATAGACCAAGTAGATACTAAAGGTCTAATATTTTATAAAGATTATAATTTCCTCCCATATCCCCAAATGCCTCAATTAATTATGAATTTCTTCAACCTTTTTTTAGGATTTTTGGCTAAACCAGTATCAGAAATTAATAAAAAAATTATGGATCTGATTCTCTAGTATATGAAAAATATAATTAGTAATAAAAATGAAAAGCTTCACAAATATTTTTAGAAATGGTAGGCATATTTAATGCAGAAGCCAAAAAAAAGCTTCGGTCAATCTTAGTTCTAAATCTAAACTACAGTAGTGTAAAAAAAACATTATTACTGACTTTATTGGCAATAAAGTTCTAGGGAAATATCTCCATTATGCTACATCAGATTTGGAAAAATTCTTGGACAATTTAATAGTGTCATCTAAGTTCAAAAGTTTATTGTTATGAATGAGACTGAAATATCTAGCGGAAATTGGTATAGATTTAATAGATATCTCAAATCTCTTATAACAGAAGGAATAATAACTATAGAGCGCAAAAATCTTGAATCTAAATGACTAAAAGATTTTACTAGGTATATGGTTACAAGCAACCAGGATGCTCCACTCAAAATAGATATAGGGAATTCTCATGTAGTCTATTTTAATGTTTCTTCACAATGTAAAGGAAATATAGCATATTTTAAGCGATTAGGAAAAGTTCTTAACCACCCTAATACACCAGAAGTAGTTATGAGATATTTTTTTAGTCTTGATCTCTCAGATTTTAAATCACAGAAATTTTTATAATTAAAATGAAATCAGATATAGTGCGAGACCAGCTACCTAATTCTATTCGATTTATAATTGACTATATTACATCTTGAACTGAGAATAGTATAGCTGAGGATAGTATAGTTAAGTTAAGTAAAAAAGCATTATATCAGAAGTATCTTGAATGGTATGAAGAGGATGATGAAAAGCCATTTTTTAATAACATTGCTGGAAAGAAATTCTCAGATATTGGTATTAAGAGCAAACAAGTACGAACAGGTAATGAAAAAAGGGAATGGTAATACATTCTTAACTGCTTTAAGATCATAGCTAAGCTTCGTAAATCTGGCTTAAGTGATATAAAAGAATTTTCTAATATACTTGAGTTTACTAAAGCAAACCTTTCTCAGCCTGAGTTATCTGAAAATGAGATTACAGACATACCAATATTTAATGTATTAGAAATTATTCTCCCAAAAATAATTCTGCCTCAATTAAAAAAGAATGTAGCAGAATAATTGGAAGTCCTAATCACTTCAACATCTAAGACATCTAAGACTTCTAATCTATCTGAGTCAGTAATTGACAAAATCTCTAAATATATCGAATCTAGTAATAAAAAAGTTTCTTCTACATTTCTGCTAGACAATAGCATAAACAGTGTCTCAGAAAATAGGCTATTGATCATGGTGAAGACCCTGATAAGTTTATAATAATTATAGAAAAAGACGTCAACTTATCTTGGAAATATCAAGATAGGATAATAGCAGATGCAGAAGTCATTAAATTTGCTAAAGAAAATAAAATGAACCTGAATAATTTATTTTATATGATTAGAAGGAAAAGATTAATAAGTGAAAAAATATATTTCTGAGAGTTCAAAGATGTAGAAAAACCCTAGAAGTATATTTATAATAATAAGGAATTGCAAAAAAATATAAGCATACTCTAGGAGAATAGTATGTTTTGGTAAAGAGCGAATAAGAAGCCAGTTTATAAGAAAAGTGTTTGGGTAAGAGAATCTTTTTGTTCTTTATACATAGGTGATATAAAATTCTAAATTATTATAATTTCATAGCTATATTTTTTTGCATATCCTATCTACCAACTTCTCTTAATTCTGCTTTATTCAAATACTTTTCATAATATGATAATTTATTTTTAATGCTTGCTAAATAATAAGAATGAATTTTAAAAATACTTTTAAGTTTTTGAACATTAATTCTTATACGTCTATCTCTAATAATCTATTTAAGTACAGAAAAATTTTGTTTACATCCTGCTTGTGAAATAGTAATATCAAATAAACAAAATGCAAGATCTTGTAAATGATATGGTTTACTTCTTATAGAATCTCATCATAATTCAAAAGTATTCATATTTTTTTCATAAGATAAATCATAAGGCTTAAGTTTTTGATCATATTTTCAAAACTGAGTAAGAAGTTCTCTACATTCTTATTCAGAATATCCTAAATTTTGCTAAAAAGTTGTGACAGTAATTACTACATTTCTAAATCCTTCATCATTAAGTCCTAAACCTAAACAATCAAAATAATTTTTTTAGTAATAATAATTTTAAAAATTAACTGAAAAATAATATATACTACTTTAATAATAAAGATAAAGAAAATAACATAAAAGATAAGCGGGATGTTAAAATTTAAGATAACAAGTATTAAATTTGAATTGCTGAAGCTTTAAAGGGATTTGATGAAGGAAGGCAAAATATAGCAATTGCTAGTTTAATAATTTGCATAAAACAATCAGTTAAAGAAGCTGATTTTGCTTCAACAATATTAATGCATTCCTTAATAGGAATCCAAATTGAACAAATATAATGATATTTCATAAAAAATTCATTATCTTGAATTAAGAGATAAATATTTGAGTTTGTGATAATACTATTATGTTCTAATAAAATCTATAGTATTTAATTATTAGAATTATTGTTATAAAATAAAGAATATTAATAAATAATTAAAAAAATATCTTATTCAGTTAAAAATAGGACGTACACATAAAATTGAATCTGCTATCATATATAATAAATCCTATCTAATCTTATATTATGTTTACAATCTTTCAATATTATTCTTCATGTCTTTTAAACCTTAAGCTAAAATTGTAGAACCTTGATGTGAATTATTGAAAAATCCTATAATTATTTCACAATTTGAAATAAATTTCTTTATATCATTAAATTTTACTAAATCAACTGCTATCTAGTTAATAGCATGAGCTACATATCATATATCTCAAATATAACTATATTTTTCTTTTATTATTTTTTTAGTAACTCAACAATTAGAAGTATTTTCAACGACAATAGCTGTAAATTTGTCTAAACCAATTGTCTCTATAATATCTGATATTTTTGAGACAAGAAATTCTCCTATATATGATTTAGTAAAATATTTACATAAAGCAACTAAATATTCTTTCTATTAAAAGTTATTATAACATAATTATAAAGTGATTCATTTTGTTTAGATGTCTAACTGTCTAATACTAATTATAAAATAAATGATAGAAATTAATAAATAATCAATATAATTTAAAAATTAAATTAAAATTTCTTATTTAAAGTTAAATTCTCTGTCATCTCTAATTCAGAAATAATCTTATTATTAACACGCAAAATTTTTTTATTTAAAAGTATACCAGACAAGGTAGTTCAAAATGGTGAGATATATGCTAGATTTAAATTTTTAAATAAATCTAAAACAAATAGATTTCAATAACCTCAAAAGAAATCCTAGTTATCATTTATACTTTTAATAAAAAGCAATCAATATAGTTACTTATTTTAGGAGGAAGTGGTTTATCTGAACTAAAATGGTTTATAATTTTGGTTTGTTTATATTAAGACTTTAGAGCTTGAGTTTGATTTTATGAAGAATGCATTTTTCAGGTATAATTCACTGTATTTTTAGCAAGTTTATCATATTAATACTTGCTAATATCTTCAGAACATGCTAAACATTAATTTTCTAAGTAAGTTTTTAAAGCTACTGGCCTTCCTCTTGATCACTTCTTTTTGCAATGATAATATGTAGCTTTATAATGACCTGGATTTAATTCTTTTCCTTAAGTATAATATTACCATACTTTATCAAATTTTAGGCCTCTTCTATTAGCTTTTTTTTGTAAAGGAAAAGTTTTAGATAAAGTATCATTACTGCACTTTTGAATATCACTTCTAGCTATTTTTATCATAATAATATAGATTATAATATATAAAACAAAAAGAAAAAAGTAAATTTCATGTTTATTGAATTTACTATGATTTATTAAAAAATATGATCAGCATAATGCATTGTACTCTGCAAGCATGAAATTAATTTACATTTATAAAATTTTAACAAAAAGTATTTTTTTAAACGTAAAAATAAAGACAAAATGATAAAATTTATTATCAAGTTATATCAAATACCATATGTCATAAGTCAAAGTTTGATCAAATATCAGTAATTACAGTATTGACTAGCATTATATCAAACATCAAAATTGTGACATGTGTTATCTAGACGTATGTCATATAACTTATAATATAATATTATAACCCATAGAGAGGAATAAGGCTGTACCTTTAATTTTTAAGATATAATTAAGAATTTCTTTTTCAAAAAAATTCCTATTATATCTATTTGTATATAGAAATTGTATGACAATGTGGAAATATAATAAATATATATTATCATGTGGAGTCTTTGTAATAGAAAGGGAGGAAACTCCAAAAAAATTAAAATTTTAGTTTATAAGCCAAAAATGTTCTAAATACTATAATTTGTTCAGATTTATTATTAACTCATTTTTTATTTTTTTTTTGAATTTCCTCCCTTTCTATTGCAAAAGCCTCATGTAGTCAAATTTATATATAATTATATATAAAGATCATTCTTTAATTTTAAATAAATTAAAAGAAAAAGTAAGGATCTATATAATTTTTTTAAAGATAATATTAAATTTAATATAATAGTAAATATAAAAAAAAACTTTTTAATATATTTTAAAATCTGAAAAAATATTTGAATTTTATTTTTATTTAAATGATACATTATTTTCATTAATTATAAATTTAAAATTTTTAATTAAAAATTTAATTAAAATTAATTTTTCTAAATTATATAATAATTTTAATATTGATTTTTTAGATATTAAAGTTTTTCTATAAATTTAAGTATATCTGAAAAAAATGATAAATTAAATTTAATAAGACAAGAAGTTATAGAGCAGACTGTATAGATTTTATATTATCAACAGATCAGATAAAATTTATATAGTGTATATTGAGCCTTTTGAATGTATTATCTTTAGTAAATAAGTTATTAATATCTTGAATAATTTTGAGTTGAAAGATTTTTTGCAGATTTTCTAATTATTGCTACACAAGTATAAGGAGTAGGATAAGGAATGATAATAAAATTTAAATTATCAGTATTTATGATAGTTTTATTATCAATATCAATAGAAATATATTCATCAGTATTGAGAATGTTAAGGAGAAAAGTATTTTTAATAACAAAGGTATCATCAATAATATTTTTATTAGTTATTAAGAATTATTTAAGTTTATCATTAGTAGAGATAAAAGAGCTATTTTGTTTCTAGTTTTTTTTGCTTTCAATGAGTCATAGCAACTTCAGTTCATTTTTAATGAACGAGATGTTTTGTAATTTTCTACTTATTTTTGTTAAATAAAAAAATAATAAAGAATTTTTTTAAATATTAAATTGTTTGTAAAAGTATATAAACTAAAACCAACTAATAGAGTTTATAAAATTTAAATAAAAAAATTTGAATTGAAACAATTTTATTTTCTTAAAAATTTTAGAAATTTTCAGAAATTTGGATGAAAGAAGAAAGAGATTTTTATACTTATAAAATATTTTTTTTATATTGCTTCTAGTGATTAGTCATCTAAATATTTATAATTGTGGCTTGTATGTCTGATATGTTAATTATACCCAAAAACAAATCCCTTTTTGCTATAATTTTAAGCTGATCTGAACCACTGAAACACTAGTCATCATGACAAGCTATGCATCTTGAACTTCATATAACTAATTTCTGATGTTATCAGTATGATAGATTCTAACCAATTACTAAAAAGAGAAGTCTTTACCAACCTAATTCAAAATAGCTATCTGGTACAGTTGATATGCTCAGACTGTCAAAATCATTCTAAGAATTAAACTTAAACTTTAATTATATCATAGACGCTACTACATTTAAATTAAAAATTACCTGTAATTCATGATTCTTGTTCAATTCAAGTTATACAGTGTTTACCATTGATCTGTTATGTCTTATTATCAGAGATGACTCTTTGCAAATGATGCAGCTCTTGCCAATTACAGGCCAGCCTCTAACACAAATTTTAAACTCAATCAATTTTATGTGCATATGATTACTTGTGCAACTATATGAGTTCATCATATTCTACAAGTTCGTGATCTTTAATGCACATTGTTTGTGTGCATCCTATAAAATTTATTTTCAGAATCAAACTGGTAAAACTCACAATAAATTAATATCACAATCTGCACTTGGTTAATGCTAAACTAAGATCTATTATAATGTTACTTATCAATAGGGACTTCTATCTTATAACAAGACCAGGGATGCCAATTCCTTACTTATAAAAATATGATTAAGTATTTTAAATAGAATACAAATTATTTTATATTACTTGAAAGTATCTTCAATTTTTTTTTTGAAATCTTCTATAAGTTTATAATTTTTTTTATTTTACTTAATATTAATAATAACAATAATCAATTAATATAAATATCTATTCTATTACAGTATTTGACAAAATGCATTATCTTGATTTAGGTTTATTTTATATCAAATTATTTATATACAAAAACTATAAAGTTATATGATAATTGTTTAATAATTAATTGTAAGATTAACAGCAAATAAATATCATAATCTAATAAAAGTAATGATTTATAATTGATAATTTATATAAAGAAAATACCAAAATGTAAAAAATTTATTACAAATAAAAATTTAGCAAGACTTTACAAAAAGTAAAATGATATGATAAAATTAATATTTCTTAACCATTTCATTCTTAACCATTTCTTTTTGGCCATATCGTATTCTTAAAATAATTCAAGCAAATTCATTTTATTGTGAAATTAATCATGTGATAAACTATAAATTTCAGAATACATAATAAAAATGAAAAGTAGAGGGTAAATTACAGAATAACATTTTTATTTTAGGTTAGAAGCAGAAGAAGTACCAGCTGTATAATAAGAGGAAATAGAAGAAGATACGGCTGTAGAGACTGGGGCAAGGATTGAAGTAATGAAGTTAACGGTAAGTGATGAAAGAAGTCGTCATCTCCTTCTATTCTCGTTATTCTACGTCCAAAATGCTCATTTTTTCATTTCGTGCACTATGATTAGGATTGATAATGAAGAAAATAAATCAGTATAATATAATTATCATCACCCCTTTCATATAAGTTAAGGTTGGAATAATGATTCTAAAATTGCGATTAAACTATCGTCGTATAATACTCACTTCATACAAACAATTGATCTTATTAATTTTTATTAGAATAAATCATTTTTCATTTTTTTTGAAGCTCTATTCTTTTTCTTGAAGAAATAAAGACAAAACATTCGTTAATAAATTGAACAAACGGTTTTTATTTTTTTTTAAAAACATAAAAAAAAATTCATTCTAAATTTAACCTGATGTTAAACCGAAAAACGTATTATATTTTAATTACCTTATTAACAATTTTTGATGGAGGCTGACAAACGGATTTAGCTCTAGTGACGCTTTTCTTGTTCTGACACGCGGGTTTAAAACGATTCCACGACCACGCTCACGGTTTAAAATACAAATAATCTCGGGGTAAAAAAAAAGAAAATATTGAAAAAAATGAAAAAAAAAATAATATACAATCCTTTAGAAAAAACTAACAAATTCGTTCGTGAGTCTAATTTATTAAGACGTATCCGGATTTCAGGGTTAATTTTATCCTAGCTTTTATATTAAAGTAAGTCTGCACCTT